AAAAGACTTCTCAGAAGAGTGGAGGCTGTTATAGCCACAAAGGGGGGGCAACTCCATATTTAAGACCATGGTTTTGGAATGGGATGTCCAATAAGCTCATAGGTATGACAGTCAGCTGTCCACATACTTTTGGCCATAAAATAAAAGTGCAGTTAAGCTTACCTTGTTCTCATCCAGATTTGCACATGAATGTGATGATGATGACCATTATTCCATTAGACAGTTAGACCGTTTATTCAAATAATGTTCATTACAGTCAAACCCTGAAACCCTGAGGAGCAGTGTGTCCTGTATATCAGACAGCATCATGGTTTCTCAGTGGAAGACCCCATGTTCTATCACTGAACCATGCCCAGCTTTCACCCTTTTGTGTGTGTGTGTGTGCGAGAGAGAGAGAGACCGAGAGACAGACAGACAGACAGACAGACATAGACAGAGAGAACAAACACAGTTTATTGAATATGTGGCCGAGAGGGAAAATTCTGGTATCTCCCTTCTCTTTTTTCTGTTCATTCTTTTGTTTCCTTCTCATTTCTTTCATGCAAGCTGGTTGTGGATTATACTGAAAAGGCAATTTTGTCTGGGCACGAATAGAGTTTTTGTTCAATCGTCTTGTCCTTCTTTGAACTTTCGTTGTGTAGTGAAAGAGGCACAGATACTGCATGTTTATACTCGTCTTCCACAAATGCAGATCTGGCCTAATATCAGTACATCCTGCCAAAACATGAACAGATCCTAAAACGGGGTTTGTGACTTCATAGAAGAACCACTTTGCTATCTTGAAGAACCCTTTAGTGGATGGTTCTTCAAAGAACCATTTCTTGAAATGAGATGACCAAGTGTGAAGAAATATTAGAATTTATTCCAAATTTAGAAACATTTAAAAAGTTAAGAAAAGTTAAGAACCAATTAAAGATTGAACTGTACAATTTTAAGGGTGTAGATTTTATCAGTATAGCTCTGCAATCTTCTTCTCCTACACCATTAGAAAATGAGGTTCTTCAGTGGTTTTTTAACAAAGGCAGTGGTAATATATAGAACTAGCAAAATTTATAGAGCCATTTCAATGCATAATGCTTATTCTCCAAGTTCTATATAGCACCAAAAAGCCATAAAGCCATGGCTAAAAGTGTATGTAAAACCCTTTCGGCTACGAGTGTAGCCTATGTCACAGCAGAACTTATAGCTTGCAATAACAGGGTCCTTTAGTCTCATTGTTCCTGACCACTTCATGATTAACAGAATGTGGCATGTGAGGGTTAAAGCAAGGGCACACCCTTTTGTCCTGCAAGGAAATGGTGATTCACTCTCACAGTGTGGTAGCATGAGTCTTTTTGATTGCTATCCACTCTGACCCAAGTGTACAATATTAGAGTCAAAGAGAATGAATGGGGCTCGCATAGCTATGATGAAAACACATGGTCATTATGAATGTTTTTGTCTTTGAAAGAAGTTTATAGGCCTTCACGGAAGGAATTCCTTTGGATGTCAAGATGAAGTTCAAGATCAAGAAAAACTATGTCATCTCAAAAATACAGTAAAAATGAGCAGGACAGTGTAGTACAACACTAAATTACAATATAATAAAGCCATACTGTAAAAAATCAGTCTCAAAGGCCAACAACTGCTGGGACTTTCAGGTTCTGGCAGGGGATTTTTGGATAATATGTCCACATTGTTAGCATGAAACATAAAGAGTGGCATTAGTAAGGCTATGTGGCACTGAAATAAACCTTTTTTGACCACTGATATAAACCTGTATAAACATTTATAAAGATTATTCCATCAAGTGTGTTAGTAGTTGTAACACTTTCAGAAGTGAAGTGACATCAGAATTGAAAAGAACAGCCACTATGACATCTGACATCTTTATAAATGTTTATGCAGGTTTATGGCAGTTGTTATTAAAGGCTTATGTGTAGGTATCATGTAGTCTTTCGAAAGCTACCTTTCAGTAAAGTATGACCAACAAATAGTTTATTTTTTATCAAAGTTTATATGTTTATAAGTTTATAAGTATGACCAACAAATAGTTTATTTTTTTTATAAAATTATGCATTTTTATCAAAATTTTAATTTTTAATGTGCCATAACCAGTGGTGGTGCCATAACCAGTGGTTTTGGCTAGTTTATGTTTATGAACAGAGACCTACAGATGCAATATAGTAAAGGAAAACACATTTGCGAACCTGTGTTTAAAGCATGTTTTTATTAAACTTAAACTTGTAACTAAGTTAATTAATCTTTTAGTACTTTTACTTTCGAGTACTTAAGCACATTTGAAGGCAAATACTTTTTGTACTTTTATTCAAGTGGAAGTCTAAAGGGAGGACTTCTACTTTTACTGGAGTAATATTTTACCTTGGGTATCTCTACTTTAACTCAAGTATATGATTTGTGTACTTCGTCCAACACTGGCCATAACAGATTTTCACATGTAAATTTGTTGCCAAATGTAATGCATTAATATAAATTATAAAGTATATTTTGCATCGACATACTAATTTTATTCGTGTCCCACACTTGATATCAATATGTATCAATTGTGTGTATCAGTCTTCATGTGTGTAGAAGGAAGTTCCTGAAAAATGATAAAATCTTTTCAGTTGAAATGGCACTATATGAATGTTAAATCAACACACACTCCTGGGCTCCTGGAGCCTATCCCAGCAGTCACTGGGCAGAAGGTCACCGGTCCTTCACAGGGCAGACACACTGACATTGACACCTAGGTCTTCGGGAGGAATACCGCACAGACACAGGAAGAGCATGCAAACTCCACACAGAGGGGGCCTTGGTCACCCTGGCCAGGGTATCAAACCTAGGCCCTTCTTGTTGTTGCTGCCCGCTGCACCTCCATATGTTCTTGAGTCATTTATGGCATTTTTTGTATATATACACTGGCCACTTCATTGCGTACACCTCCTTGTATCTTTAATCATTGTCCATTTTATCAGCTCCACTTACCACACAGGTGTGCTTTTTAGTTCTATACTTACACACTGTAGTTCATCCATTTCTTGCATACTTTGTTAGCCCCCTTTTACCCTGTTCTTCAGTAGTCAGGACCCCCACAGGACCAAAACAGAGCAGGTATTATTTGAGTGGTGGATCATTCTCAGCACTGCAGTGACAGTAATGTGGTCTTATAAATGGTTTATTTTTTCACAATTTTCATTTCAACTTCATATTCCTATTAAATTTGAATGTATTAGATGTTGCCCACCAAAGCTAATGTAACAGGCCGTGCCATCTGCAATTTATACTCAAAAACTCTCAGTGTGGACGTGTTATGGCAGAGATGAGTTTGCTAATGTACAGCCAAAGCTGCCTGTAGTTACAGAAACACTGAAATACACCAAAGTAAATGCATGTAATGTAACAGCAGCATAGAATAGCACATGTAGCATATAGGTAGCCCATTAGAAACAGCAGCATAATAATGTTTAGCATAATTTATACCGGGTAACAGGAGTGGTAAATGTGGATAGTCCAGAGAAGTTGACTAGTGAGATAGGGAGAGATTTTGAACAGTGAACTCATGTGAGTAACTATAAAGCCATCCTAGTTCCTATTATTAGCTCAGGTTTGTTTTGATACTACTTTTTTTTATCATTGGTCATAAAGATATACATATTCTTTGACACTGATGACCTGCTCCTACAGATGATATACTGTAAATTGAGCAGCATTTTGCTTGTTTGAACTTATAGACCCTCTTAACCCAGGAAATACTCTGGTAATTTTTCAAAGAGAGGAGGAATAGGTTACCTTTTCTTAGGCACACCTACAAATGCAAACAATTATGCTAGGAAGAGTTACTACTGACACACATTCATGCAGCATGAAAATCTGTGACTAAGCACTGAGATTAGTGCATCTGTGCAGGATCACGCACCCCATGCCTCTGTACACGCTCTCAGAAACAGCACCACACTCTTACATCACTTGACTTCTTTTTACCTATTTTCTGAGGATCTGTGAAAAAAAAAAATCACATGGTACGTCCACTGTGTTTTTCAGTTATCAGAAAGTTTCTTATTTAGCTCATGATTTCATATGAAGCTTTTAGTTGAAGTCACTGGTATGACCTATTTTATTCTTAGGTAACTGTGAAAAAATAGAATACAAATGGATTAAATTACATATTTTAGTGGATATTCCATGATTGACAACATGTGGTTTGATACTCTGTAGCAGCCATTTTGTAAAATGCATTTTTCATTAAAAATGTCACTGGTGTTACTGTCACTGGTGTTACCTTTCCTATGTATAACACCAATGAGGATAACACCAGTGACACTTATGGATAGATAGAAAAGTGGACGTGTCTGTAGAATGACTCATATAATGACCATTTTGACTGAAAACTAAATAAATGGAGGGTGCTCTTAGACTTTTGCACAGTACTGTCATTATTAGACCTGTAGCATGCTCTATTCTTGACTATTCCAAGTTTAATTCTATGTGATTTCTGTAGTGCTTTTGCAACAGACAGTATTTATCAAAGTTCTCAGTCAAATGCTGATCTGGGATCAGCTTAAGCTGGTCACGTGGCGCTGAATAGGGTTACATAGACTAATGAGGCTTGATATTAGATCAGTGTTCTGAATCTCAGATACTTGATAACAAGTGTCACACAGTAGCTTTATTGTACATTCAATAAAGCAATAGTTCTTTAATTTGTGATGATAGCTTCATAGATAAGTATCTCAGCCAACTAGAGGAAAGTCCATATAAGGAAATTCAACTGTGGGCGTGACTGCTTCATTTGAGCGGGGAGTAGATCCACTGTAGCACGATTTGCGTGAGTTATTTTTTTCCGCAACCGTGTTCCAAGCCCCGCCTCCTACGCTAGGATTGGCTGATTATTTTATCGCTGACTGCCTATGAGTATCAGAGCCATATAGAGAGAATGAATGAACTAGTAGCCAATCCCAGTGCAGGAGGCGGGGCTTGTTATGTTTATGAGAGGGAGAAAAGCAGCGCGCGCTGTCTTCTTACGTGTCAGTGCAGCCAACTGCAGCAGCGGTGTCATTTAAAGGACTTTATCTTTATGATTCTAATTTTCTTTTAATTAATGTTTCAAGACAACTTCAAGATGGTCATGCTCTTCCAAAACAGTTCTCAGCAGAACACCACCTTGCCAACTGAGAACTGGACAGCTGTGAGTATTTGTGTGGTTATTTACGTTTTCCTATAATTTCTACCAACTCGTGAAGTCATCATATGTTTAGAGGGAATATATCAGAGGATAGCGTAGCAAGAGCTAGTCATATTTCATTACATTTCGAAACTTTTATGAAAATTATGAAATTAGGTAAACGAAGCTAAAGTCAGCTTATTCGCTAGCTTCTTGTTCGATTTGTCCTGTTCCACCTTAAATGGTGCAGTAGTTTCATTGTGGCGCCTCAGGCCATAGGCTCCAGAATGTATCTGCTGCACCATTTAAGGTGGAACGTGAATATTCGAACAAGAAGCTGACTTAAGCCTGGTCCCTTAAAAGTCTGTTGAGGTTCTTTTACGCGGGTAAACACCAGAAGTGTGCACCAAACTGAAAATGTGGTTTGGCATCATGTTCTTCAGCCTAATCACAGATTTGTGCCTAGCTAAATATCATTGTCCTTTAGCCCTTGGTCATACACGGGAAGAAACTCATAAATGCATTGCTTTAGTTTAGATAGTGAGATTAAACATTAGGCTTTTTGTGAGTCCATAATGCTTCCCATATAGAAATCTGATGTATGGTTGCATATTTCAAAAGACATATATTAGCACATATAGATTTATTATCCCTTGTTTGCATGAGACATGTCTCAGACAGACAATATATATGAGATCAATGTATTATGCATAAATGTCCAATATTTGATACATACATATGTATAACATATGTACATCTATTTTGAAATACATGCCTGACCCTTTATGATGTCTGTGCATATATGGCCATATATCAGATTTGCATATTGGTTTTAATTTCCCTTTTTCCTTTGCAAAGGTCTATTCAGCAGTGCGGTGGATTCAAATGATAATGGCTATTCTGAGGTGAGACCATAAGAAAACAAACATATACATGTGTCTTTTTGTTTGTTTGTTTGTTTACTTGTTTCTTGACTTTCTTGGCTGGTTTCAGTATTTTAGGCTCAGGCTCCATAATCTTCTACGCCGTTTTCCAAAGACTTGTAAGAACATCTGAGGTAAGAAATACACATTATTTGTCTTATAAGCCATTTCATGCCATCATTGTGAAAGTGCAACGGTAACTGACCCAGCTGGTGATCGTGAAAGTTACCAGATGTCATGCTCTTTTTCACAGGTGCAGCCTCTCTTCCTGCTGAGTTTAACAGACATGCTGTTGGCTGCTAGCTGGCTGTGCGGTGCTCTTCTCTTCAGCACATCCTGTGACTCCTATGCCACCTGCTACAACCTCCACACAGTGGAGCAGGTAATTAGAACTAATATCATCCGGAATTTAACACATCGTTTCAATATTAAACCGGACATTCAATATTATCACCCTTCACTGTGTCTCAGTTCGGGCACTATTCACTATATTCTTACTCTATACACTATTCACTATATCTAGAGATTTGGGCCTTTGTAGGGAGGTATGTAGAATTGAGCGCCATCATTTTGCATTTAACAGCAATGAAAAATGAACATGCAGTGCCTCACGTCATTGAATCCTAAGCTGGCAGTTAGCTAACGTTAGGTAACTAGCTACTTATGCTGTTAGCTAACTAATATTAGCTATAACCTAACATGCCTGGGTTCCATTGTGATATTTTGACATACTTAGCTGCATATCGCAAATAGCCTAAAAGAAATTATGTCACAAAAAATACAGATACAAAGAACTTACATTTTAAACTTAGAACATTTAAGACACAAGTTTCATGAACATTGCACCAAAGAAGAAGCCACTTGTGATTATTTTGTATTTTTAACTATTCTGTACTGTGCTATTGGTGATTCTTAAGAGTTAGATGATAACGGCTGCAAATATTTCAGTTTGGCTGTTTAGCTGCTGATCATCCCAAAAAGGGAACTAACTTTAGTTAGCTACAGGGACATTCCCCATGAAGCAACTTCACCCAACCTACGGATGGGTTTGAACCTTTGATCTTTAGAGCCATATCCAAGTTTTGGGAACTGTTTCTCTGCCAGGTCCAGTTTTTAGTGTGTAAAATAGTTTGTGAATTTATGGTTCTTTTAAGCATGTTTATGCTACTTCTAGAATTCCTGATTGAGTCTTTAGTCCTTTTTACAACCGTTCATACTTATCTAGGGTTGTTAGCACCCTAACACTTATACATGAACAATAAACTTGACCAATAAACTGTCATGATAATGTAAAATGAAAACATTATTGACTTTAACAAAATAATGGTTAGTTATATTTTGATATTTTGTTTTAAACTCTTAAACATGGATGAGGTAGGGTAAAAAAGGTTTGCATTTAAGTGCTGAATGCAGTTTACTGTTTTTAATATGTGATTTTAGGCAGTATGCTTAACCATACCTCCTTAAGAGTAAATAATTTGTTAATGAATAGATCTGAGTTATATTGTTAAAAAGCCTTTCCCCATTGGGAGGATATGGGATGCTTGCCTGTGTCACGAGTTTGATCTGGAAGGTTCATTCCTATCTGGTATTATAGTACATGCTGCTGCATGTTAGCAGTGCACTGAAATCTCCAACGTCTGGCTTGAATTATGGAACACATTCTGATGCTGAAACGAGTCATGAGGGCATTTGAGGATAGGAGGCAAAATCTTTTGGTTTTGTGAGTGGAGAGCTAGGCATGTGTTTCTGTTTATGTGCACACTTGTGTTTGTTGCTTTTATAGCAGCTTTTATGAAACATTCCCACCAAACTCTGTACTTATGAAAGTGAAACTCTGCCAGTTTCAGCCAGCCTAAGACCAACATGGTCTTTTAGAGCAGGTTAACCTTGATGTTTCCCATCGTTGTTTTCCTCAAAGTGTTTGTACCAGTAAACTAGCACAAATTCCCCCAAACATTTCTAGATTCTGACATGCAACCAAGTAGGACAGGCCTGAAAAGGAAGTGGAGCAGTAAATTTGCTCCAGACGTTAAAACACAAAACAATCTGCCCCACTTTTCTCTTCACGTGCCCATCAATAGAGGACCAATTGAGCTTGTTGTGTCCCACTGGTTCAGCGTAATGAGCTAAGCAATGTGGAAATAGTGTCACATAATAAGACCTCCTGAGGGCACACAGAGACAGTATTGAGTTGGTAGGTATGCTTTTTGGGATACTTAAAGGGTTGGTATTGGGAATAGGACAGTTTGGAGCACAATATAATTCCAATGGAGAATCACCATTCAGAGTGATGTGTAGTCCATGGTGAGGTGCAATACCTGCCTGGGAAACCGACCCTTAGCTTTGATTTTAGTGAGAGTTGGTTTTAGTGTCCTTATATGTAAGCAGACACTAAGTTTGTTTCTAATTTGTAGTCTGTTCAAAACTTTGGAACCACCATTCAACCTCAATTTAACCTCAATAGGACTTCAGTTTGTCAAGACCTAGATGATTATTGATTAGCTGAACCATAGGCATGGAGCTTTATAAGATTGCTATAGGAATGAACTGATAAATGCCGCTAATAAAGGCAACCTCAACATTTTCCTGTGGAAGGAAGCCGCCTTATATCTTTGAATCCAAGTTTACATGATGTTTTCTGTGGAATTGTGCCTGTTTTTGTCAGCAGAGTCTCACTTGAGTTTTCAGTGCTTCACCTGTACTGAGCAAGATGAAGTATGCCTCAGTCACTGCCCTAATAAAACCTCCATATGCATTCGGTTGCGTATTAAAGTAGAAGTGTTCTTTTTACAATATTTACAAGTACAAAATGAAATTGTGCTAACACGTTATGTAATGTAACATAATGTTAATTTCATAGACTGCTTCCACTTTTATAATAGCAAGACAAAAAACGAAACAAAAGCTTCTGTATACTTTTTACTAGTTTGTAAAACTGCAAATCACTGTGACGTACTATCAAAAGCTGAATGCAAAAACACAGATTAACGTCAGCCTTTTAAAGGTAATCATAAACCTAAGGAACTTGTACATTCTGATAACACCCAGCATGTGACCCACTTACACATGTATAGACAGGGGTGGTGATAATACAATACAGTGTACTAAACAGAATGTTTTTATATATAGAACAGTTGTAAGGTCAAAGCGAGAAGGCAAGTGTCTGCATTCAGTGTGATAAGGAGTGCCCTAAAGTCAACTGTTTTTTCTCACTTAAAAAAAGCATATTACATTTCTAGATGCATAAACCAAAAATGATATATAAGGTTTTTAACTGTGCTTACACCTATTGACAACTAAACACCAATACTGAACTTGGGCAAATAAATCAAGAATTATAAAGCTATAAATGAATGCATGTCTGTGTTAAATGTAGATTTAAAGATGTTCCAGGGATAATCTTCCATAATTTAGTATAAAAATAATAAACAACTACATAAGTACAACTTTTAAATTCTATATTTTTTAATTCAATAACTTAAGGCTCATTATCCAGTAACTTAAGAGTTCACTATCCACCACTATGAAACTAATCTGTAATATTATTGATATTCTTAAGTGAGTAAGGGAAATCTGGACCCACAATCCAGGCCTTGGAGTTTAAGGGCTTAAGACATCATTATAAGTTAGTACAGATGGCACTGATTTAATACCTAGTATCAGTGTCAGACCCATGTTGTCAGAAAAAGCTGGATCAGATTTCAGATAGGGATGCACGAATGTAGGAATTGTGGCCTGATTCCCAAATCTGCCATCTACATTTTTTCAAAATGTAGAAATTAAAACACCTGGATTAGCAATACACAGAAATGCGAATGCATTTATTTGTAGTGGGTTACAAATCCTGTAACGGGAATAACATCTGGAGTACAATAAATACATCAGATATCGGCTAAATCTAAACATCTCTCCGATAACGATCATTTATCTGATCAAATATCTGCTGATACCAGATACCATGATTCCAATATCATTGTGCATCCAATTCAAAAGCAAATCCAATCATATTCTGTAACAAATCTGGCCTGAAATAGCACAATCAGTTGCAAGCAATCATTTGAAGGACAACATAAGTCATGTTATAATTGCAACCTAGCATTAACATAAGAATGACCATCTTAAGTAAATGCTTCAGTTAAAAATACCTAATTTTAAAGCGTTGACGTTTGTAACGAGGTTTCAGTATCATGGCATCGTGCCATCTCTCTGAATGAGGTCAAAAGTTCTTGTAGTCTGGAATTCATAGTGCTCATACTATTAAAGTTGCGAGTCACTGGGATTTACCATAGATAGATATGTGGGGTGACGAGGCATTTTCAGAGCAGAATCTCTTCAGAGAGACCTTGGAATGTCGTTCAGCCTCTTGTCAGGGTGGTTTAACATGAATGCCATGAAGGCAAAGGTGAACCTGCATCATGTGGCACATGAAAACTGACACGGCGAAGGAACATGTGGTTGTACCTTTCAGCCTGCAGGATCATGTGAATATGAAAGTTGTAAAGGGAGCAGTTATGTAAGCATGAAATGTAAAGCAAAAATGACTGTTATAGTCAGATTTGACAAATCTCTCTCTCTCTCTCTCTCTCTCTCTCTCTCTCTCTCTCTCTCTCTCTCTCTCTCTCGTACAGACCCTCTACATGGCTTCATTTTTCTATACACTCAACTATGTGTGGGTGCTCTACACTGGCCTGAAGGAAAAGTATCGTCGGAGACTGAATGGTTTCCCAGCCCAGGTAATCAAACCAACCATGTTAATGACAACCTGATCATCAGTTAAACTAAATAATAATGTGTCCATATGTGATGAGCATTGAATTTTCTTCTTATTTCAGCATCCAGCTCAAGCTAAGCCATGCAGACGGTTGGCAGCAGTTGTGTCATGGTAAGCAGACCAACTTGTTTAAGACTGTTAGGGCTGTCGCTATCAATTCTATTAGCATTACAGAGTAATCTACAGCCTTAAATAAATGTTTTTTAAGGAATGTAATGGTAACACATACAACCATAAACAAAGTGTTTTTGGGGCTATATATCATCCCTTTTGATAAGAACGTATTGTCTATTTTGACAAATAATGCTCAATAATACAGCCAGACAGTAAAAACTGAAGGTGAATAACCATGACATCCCTAAGAGCCACTAGTAGCCCATATAATTCAGTATAATTCAATATAAGCCCAATATAATTCAATCATATTCCTTAAGTTATTAATAAGACATGCTATTGATCTGTACAATAGTGTTCCTAGACTGCTTTGGTGTGTTGGCACATATGCTCTGCCATTCAGTCACCCTTTCTTTCTGTTTCGTTCCAGTGTTTTGCCACTGCTGCTTACAATGCCAGTCTTCATAACAGGAAATGTGGACCAGTGCTATGTAAACTTCACCCAGCCCTACAAGTATGTTTGTCTCTAAGCCTGTATTTATCTGCGTCAGCCTCTGTTACATGGAAAATCCAGCCTTACATAACTGATGTTGATTTCTTCCCAGTGTTTTTCTGATCATAGTGGCACTTAAAGGAATAGTTTCACACAATTTCCCCAAATCAGCTAACATCAGTAGTAATCAGCATGATTACTACCCAATGTTTGCAGTAAATGTGAAAAAATATGCAAATGTGCAGATAATATGCAGACAGCTACTGTTTTAGCCATGTGATGTAATTTTGTCCAGTATTTAGAAAACAGTGTCATACAGAGCCAGAAACAACATAAGGAATTCTATTTGTAATTACTTAACAACTTGACCCAGTTTGAAGCAAGTGATGATATTTTTAAGCATGCGGTTTACACAGTGCTAATTAGTAAGGCACAAGCTTTCATTACTTGTAAGCTTCATTACCTCTGTAGCTCCGGTGCGAAACTAAAGAAGCAACCTCCAGACACCAAATATGTCTTGGCTGAACAATATATTTGAAGAAAACTGTGTAAATCTGATTTTATGCTGCAATATTCCTTTAGGAGAAGATTACGGCTGAGCCAGGATTCTCTGAAGAAGAACTTTGACGTGTTCTGGCTTTATGCGGTCGTGTGCAAAAGTTTGAGCACACGCAGTCACATTACATGTTTTGTTGATTTTCGAAGTAACACTAAATTGCCAGAGAACACACTTAAATATGATATTTTTCTACTAATTTTAGTACACAGTTTCTATTTATCTGCTGCGTTTAGCATATTGGGAAGAAAATAGATATAAAATGTGCTATAACTTCTGCACAGGCCACATTTTATGTTTTAACAATTCCCAATATGTTAAATTTAGCAAATAAAGAGTAATGTGCAGGAGTGTGTTCTCTCTAGAGGATGTATTGTGAGTTAGAAAATCAATAAAAACATTATTTGACCATGGGCACCCAAACTTACGCATACAGTTGTAGATCCAACCACAAACTCAAGCACGTTTTCATACAGTTGAACTGAGTGTGGGCCCCTGTTGTTTCAAATCATTTAGGCATATGTCGACAGATGCTGGCCAGTAAGTGGCTGGATTAGTTTGTTTTCAATTTTCACAACTATTAGTGCTGCAGTTCATCAAAAAATGCGGATTGTTGTGACTAAAAATACTTGCTGTACACTGAAACTTCAGATGATGTGATGTGAAAATACCTTTTTGGGGCTAACAGCACTAGGAGGGGATTTGTCTGCACGTAATGCTATCTAGCTCCCCCTTGCTTTTTTTTTCATTATTAGCTAGAATTCTTTAAGCGAAGTATTCCTCATGTTTACCTCCAGATGTCTGCTGTTGTACACTGGTGCTCTCTTCCTGAGCTCGTCAGTGAGTGAGGTGCTCCCAGTCTGCAAGATCATGAGTGACTATACCATTACCATCTTCCTCATCACCTTTGTCATCACCCTTATTGGAATTGTGGTGAGCTGCTTTCTATGCTGATTTCAATTTCTCATATTTGGTCAATAAACAATGAGGAAGTAGTGTTGTCATTCTGTAGTAGGCATCATGCTCATATGAGGAAATAGGAGTCTAAGCGTTTTTTGTAAATGACAAAAATTAATGACATTTTCGGAAATCCCCATGCCCTAAAGTAAACAAGTGTTCCAAATATGAAAAGCTTTGCTATAAGTACATTTTTACTCTGAACATCGCCACATCTTCTGAATGACATTAAGTCATTAAGGACCTGGAATATGACTATTGCTACACACAAGCTAACACTGCTGCACTCTGAATTCACACCAAATCACTGGCAACCAAATTACCCCACCCAAACCATTAAGCTTTAAAAAATGTAATAGTTGAGTTGCTTTGGCAGTAGTAGCTCACAGTTCTTGGTATTTTGTGGTGTTATAATAGTGTTGAAATCCTACTTTCATTTCGTTTTCAGTGCAAGAGTGTTATCTTGTAGCATGAATGTAAGCATATTGCTGAACAACCATGATCCTGTGACACTCAAGTGAAAAAATTTGCTTAGGGTCAGTGTTCCTAGTATGGAAAAGTCATCGACTACAGAATGACCCATAATTGCTTCCAGTGAACATGATGAATGAGAACTGCATCAGTGTCAGGAGTGACGTACATGCCACTGCTAACAATACTGAACCATAACCTGAACTGCAATCATATTTGTCAGTGCTATAACTGAACTATAATCATGCCATTCCTTCACTGACAGTACTGCTCCTCTTGTTTCAGGTGCTCATGTTCAAAGCGCGCTCCTTGTACAAGCGCTGTGTTACTTCTCAGGGTTTCTTCGGAGACAGTCAGTGGACCACACTGCGTGTCCTGGAACGACGTATGGTCCTTTACCCCACAGCTTTCTTTTTTTGTTGGGGACCAGGTGAGCAAAGTTTTTATCTTTATCAGTTTTTTGGGATAAAAGAGGTTTATGTAGTATTATTTTTTGGGATAAAAGAGGTTTATGTAGTATTCCAAATATGGCGTTCATTTAAGCTGCAAAAACAGTCCATTTTGAATTTGTTGTTTGAAAGGAATGCATTTAAATATACCTGCTATTCAGCCACCAGCAGTTTAGCCTCGTCCATTCACACTGAAGTTGTAAAGAGTGTTTCAGCCCAGTATGCTTTCTGAATGAAGCACAATACAGAGCAGCCAATCAGAACAGAGAAGATTTACAATTATCAGTCTTAAAGGCAGAGTAACAAGCCTGTTTAATTCTAAAGGATGATGAGAGGTAGGGATGTGTTAAATTGTTTGTGTTTTTGGTATATAAACCCTCACATAAGTCATAAGGGGGAAAAAAAGAAAATGTAGGTTACAAACTCTTCAGTAATCTTCACAGGGATTTTTCTCTTGATCTTTTAGCATATTTTAGCTACATACTTCTATGCCTACTCCTAACCATAAATGTTAACTAAAAGGGCATTCAAGTAATCAAATGTCTTTATAGCATTAGACTGTTCATGTTTTCTCATCATTGTGGACACATTCTACCCCTGCAAACAGAATACAACAAAGCACACACACATGCACTTGCTCCGTTACGTACTTGGCCACTAAACCACGCGCACATACTTTCATTACACTTTTGAGTACCATAATACGTCTTTTTTTGAAAGCTTGAAAAGCAGATATGAAAAGAACCAGATCCCTTCTGTAAGATGTTTTACAGCTTCCTCTTTCCTCTTTTGACCAGCAATTTTCCTGGCTGCCATGATGTTATTCAAACCCGAGGAAGTGAAGGGATGGGTGGGAGTCGTCCTGTATATCCTACAGGTGAGCCAAAATAAACCTGCATTGGAACAGTTATGTCATTAATACAACATAACTGATCTAACAGGGAGACCTCATGATGCATAACTGGTTACATCAATTCAGTTCAGTTTAGTTTAATTCAGTTATTCTTCAGTTGTTCTCTTGATCTTTCTTTCTCTATTTCTTGTCCTTTTCTCATCTATTATCCCTCTCTCTCTTTCTGTGTCTGTGTCCATCTTTGTCTCGACTTCCCTTAATTGAGTTTAAACAGTAATTCCAGGTAGTTGCTATGGTGTGGCTACAGGCTTGCTATGGTATTCCAGCTTGTTGATAGGGTCTTTCTTGGTGGTTGTTAGATGGTTGCTGGTTGGCTGTTGCTATGCTATTTTAGATGTTTGTTAAGGTGGTAGGCTGTTGATATGGTATCCCAGGTGGTTGCTAAGGTATTGCTAGCATATTTGTACTTGGAGTGTCCAAAAACATTACAGTGTATACTGACTGTAGTGGGATAAGAAGTAGAGGCATAAGCATTATATATAAATGAAACAACTTTCAGGATGTGAAGGAGTCCCTCATACAGTCCTATGTAAGGAAATGTGTTTGAAAGAACATTGTATGAGCACTGAAAATCAAATCAGTTAAGCACAAGCAACCTTTTCGGGAATAGGCTCTAAAAAGTTGCAAATTCTAGACTGTAGAATAATAATAAGAAAATAAAGAACAGTCTTTTGCAAGCCAACTTAATGTTATTTACAGGATTATTAATAAGCGATAATGAAAAAGGGGACATTTTTTTTTCGGTTTGATGTTTTGCCTCACTGGTTGTCCCTCAGGTTATGACACGATGCAACAAATCTTGGTGCCTGTATAATCAGCCTCTCTCTCTCCCTCTCTCTCTAGGCCTTCACCTCTGCTTCTCAGGGTTTATTGAACTGTTTGGTGTACGGTTGGACGCAGCAGCATTTCCGCTCTCTGAGCATGCGGGACGCTGACACGCAGACGCCCCTGCTACGCTCACAGAAACGCAGCTATGCCGCCCTTCACTCATCCAGCTCACAACTCCAAAATATCTGAGGGACATGAACTATGAGGACACTTCCAGCACCTCACCCTAAGCTCCAAGCAGCCTTATGACTTTTAGACTTGAGCTCTATGGGCAAAGCCCTTTTTAAGAGGTGACTTCTGAGGTCACACAAGGGTCAGTATACCTGTTACCATGGCAGCAACACCAGGTGGCCAGTCAAGGCAGTTAAAAGCAAGGACAAACAGCCTTATCTGAGAGTTCTGAAACAGCGACATGAAACAAGGAAGGTTTCCAGCACTGGTTTTGTTATGAGTTCTGCTGCCGCACCTGCTGCCTGAAGCTAAAGCGAGGGAGGGAATTCCTCTCTGGTGACTGGGGCCATATTTATAAGCTGCACAATACACTTCGACATCAAATATGCTTAGAGACTGATAAGTGAGATATCTCACTGTGTTACTATTACTCTGTATAATTCATGAAAGAGAGGAAAGTAACTCGTCTGCCAAGGTGAAGTACGTCATGGGGACTGTAGGGCTTCACGTCAGACTGAAATACAGGAATCTACAGGAAAGTGTCTCTTTATATAGTCTAGAAACAAACACCACAAATTCCACCAGCTTGTGTGAAGTCTGTTTACTGTGTTAGTGTTTTTGATGATATTAGCAATAAATTATGACTTGTTACTGCTGTGTAAGCAGAAATCTAACTAACCTAAAATGCAAATAATGTAAAATACAAAATTACAAAAGCACCATTCACTATTAGGTCAGTTACAATTTGCTGAACAGTTATTTTTATATATAAATTGGCTAATCAGTGCTTCATTAGGTTGAATCAGTACTGATGATGGAATTTCACATGGTTGGGGGTATTGAAGAACCAAACCGTTACACTCACAAGATACAATCTACTTTTGTGAGAACAAGAAATTCTTGTTACTTTGTGCTGCATTAATGTTTGTGTGCAACATATAGACATATTTGTGTGAAATATATCATGCCAAACATTGTGAGGCATGATATATTTCTTCTATAGGCCTACAAAACAATGAAACATTCCCAATCAAATAACATCACTTATTCACTGTAATTTGTCATTGCTGCCCATAATGGTGTTTTGTTGATGATAAATATGCGATTTATCATGCAGCCCTAGTTTTTACTTATTTATTTTTTAGGGACAGCGTCTATTAAACATGATCAATGGAATCAACAGGGGCTAATCTTAATCTATTGTCTGTACAATAGCTATTTCTTGCCCCCTAAAATTGTGGAATTTTAACTCATTTTAAGGAAATTGTTATTGAATGTAAGTGTAATTAATTTGAATTTAATTTAAATAATTTAGAACACAAAAATTCACATTAACATTAGATCCATATGAATTTTTTTATGGTGCAAGTCATTTTATTCCACTGATTACACAATGAGATTTATTCCAGTAGCACAAATATCATCTCAGGCCTGCTCAGTGCATTTTGCTCTGTGCTCATTTACGTTTGTCATGAGTGGAGAAAGCGTGTATGCGGTGTGTGATAAAGGGAAAGACCGAGGGGGATTACGAGGAGAGGAAGGGCTGCAGTGAAAGAGGATCTGAGAGAACAACACTGCTGTTAATTCCATCCAGAAAGAGGAAAAAAAATGCCCTTTCAGAGTGTCAGTCCTACACTTGCATACAAACAGAAACAGTGTGGATTATGGCTCTTTGCGAGTTCAGAGACATTGAGACGTTGTTGACTCAATGTTACAAAATCAAAAAACCACAACTAAGTTAATCTGTCTTAGATTTAACTGTATAGACCTGAGACTCACACAATGCAGTTGTTCATTTTCTGTCGTACCCTTTTGATTAATATTCTGCAAAGAAGCTGTATATGAGTTTTTCAGCAAGATCAGAAATATATTAGTATTATAATACTGTCCAGATCTGTTTCTAGTCTTTGTGTTTTTCTTGTTTGGTATGCATGGACTTGAGACTTCACTTGCAATTTGTTCTGTTTGGCTTACGTACATGTCTGTTGTAGCAGGACCAACAAATGAACCATTAACCGAAAATGTCAAAGTTTTCACTTTTATTCACTTTTGTTAACACACTGTAAAATCCAGCTTTGTTCTGTTTGTGTGTAAAATATATGCTGTATCACAAATATAAAGTAAACTGGTTGTCTTAAAGAGGAATTCCACCAAATGTTTCAGACGTTCTGAAAAATCTAACCATTAACATGTAAACAAAAATATTCAGAGTGGTTTGACGTGAAATGTGCCATTCTAGAGAAACCTAGAGTCAGAATTGTTCACAGTGTGGGTGATGGGAACCAGACATCCAAAGCGTTTAATACTTTTTAAAGCTACCTCACAAAAAGTTTTTTTGCATGAAATAGCTACAAATATGTTGCCTTGTTTTTAAAGTTTTTAATACTTACAACATATTCATAGCAGAGTTATATGTGCAGGGCATTGTACTGCAAAATAGCACCCAAAGAAACCTTTTTCTTAGATGCGAAACACGCATCATGGGCTTATAACATACTCATTCACACTGAACAGACTGAAGATTCTGCACAAGGGGCGCTAATAGCATTTTGATGTTAGTAGATTTTGTCACTTCAAGAGTGGTGCTTCATACCAATGATACCATGCGCTTCTTCATGACTTATCTCTATAAACATATATAAAAATCAGAACACATGGTCGTTTTGTATATCAAATATATTTGCATTGGTTCCCATCATTACTGTTGCAAAGAGATTTTTTCATTGTATCATTTTTCTACAATGAACCATTTCACATCAAACCGCTCTGAATGACTTTGTTTGCATCTCAGCGACTGAACTACGCAGATGTTTTAAACAGTTGGTGGAATTCCCCTTTCAGTTGTCTTTACTGTGAAGCTGTGAAGCTTTCATTCATTATGTAGTCACATGTTTACACAGCCACTTCAACTAAAGGTAATTTTGACTGTTTAAGCCATTAACAAATTAAAGTGTTCTACATTTAGAAGTTTTAAAAATGATTGTGTAAACCTGGATTTTCTTTTGAGACATTATTTTAAAACATGGTGTAATGTTTAGTCTGTTTGCATTGGAGGAACAATGTTGGGAATGTCCTTATATGTTGGGTATATTTGTAGTAAATACATATTAGTATTAGAGGAATTTCCAGTTTTGCAGAAGTTGAACTGAGTGAACTCTGATTTTTTTTTTTTTTTAGATCTCCAGTGTGTTTTGATTGTTGCACAGTTCCAATCCAGTTATCAGCACATGTCCTATTCAATACAATGGTTGTCATAGCCTGACTTGAAGTCATATATTCATGTATTTCAGCATCAGGGTGAAAGAACATGTTTTTTCGTGACAAATCTTGCAAATAAATATTACTTATCACTTAGTTGTGCCTGCTGTGTGGCTTTATAACTGTTGGAATTCTGGATATGCTTATGGCTGAGCTCCAGCTTGAACAAACTCAGGGTCAGCCGTGCTGCAAATGAGGCCTGCCGGGCAGTGCTGGCAGAGAGGTGATGGAAAGGGATGGGCTTTGAAGTGGTCCTCCTTTCACATGGGCTGTTTGCAAAGGGTCACTGCGTGCTATTCGGGAGTGTGTTTACATCTCTCTAAGCTTGTGCCAATGTAAACGTGCAGCCTGTTAGCAAAAACATACATCTCTCCCTCTCTCTCTCCCTCTCTTTTTCGCTCCTTTGTCTTTCTCTGCCATTTCCTCCCTCCTAACCTCTCTGCATCGTGGAAAACAGGTTACAGTTATTGCAAAGTTATGATTACTGGTTTGTATATAAACTTTAAAATGTATAGCTCTTTGTCATGATAGAAAAAACACATAAAGCTTGTAAAAGTTACATTACCTGCTACTCTGTGACATCAGAAATGCTCCATTATTTCCAGCTCTACAAATGTGATTAAACTTGTAGGCCTGCTGGTGTTAGTAAAGAGCCTGTTTTGCCCAAAGTGGTTCAGCTCCACTACTGAAGATCATACAGGATCGCAAATTTGTCTGTTGTCTGTCTGATGATCTCAGATGGGTATTTCTGACTGTAAGCTTATTAAATCCAGCTTTCGTTTTCCAAGCCAAGTAAGAAACCCTCAATATCTAATGGCTTTAAACCTGTAAGACAGTGGTGTTCAGTTCTTGTCCTGGAGGGCCGTGATTTCTGTGCTCAAACACACCTGATTCAACTTATTTGTTTATCGCTAGGTTTAGAAGGTATGTTTGAGTAGGGATATCACCAAACTGTGTAGGACAATGGTCCTCCAGGACTGGAGCTGAACTCCCCTGCTTTAGGTCCTCTGTCTGTCTGTACTTCTATTTGTGCTTCCTCTTTTGCTCTGCTAACCTTTCCTGCCCTTTCCACATACAGCTGCCCTATTTCTAACACTCTAAACAAAATCTACCTACAACATTTACATAGTTTTATGTACCAACACAGCTTATTTTTACATGTCTGATTTATACCATGTCTTTTTTCAGGTTGAATGGGTGGATATACACCGATCAGGCATAACATTATGACCAACTCCAGCAGCACTACTGTGTCTGATCCACCCGTACTAGCACAACACACCCTAACACACCACCACCACGTTAGTGTTACTGCAGTGCTGAGAATCATCCACCACCCAAAGAGTACCTGCTCTGTGAGGGTCCATGTCCATGGAAGAACAGGGTAAAAGGAGGCTAACAAAGTATGCAGAGAAACAGGTGGACTACAGTCTGTAATTGTAGAACTACAAAGTGCACCTATATAGTAAGTGGAGCTGATAAAATGGACAATTAGCGTAGAAATAAGGAGGTGGTCATAATGTTATGCCTGATCGGTGTATGTAAATGTGTTCATGGTTATGACATCACAACCATGATGAATTCAAAACAGGCCATTTTGGCAGCTTAGTTACCATGTATAGATTGTGTAGAGATGTGTAAGATCTCAATTAATGTGAGGAAGGTCACATTACCAAACCAGAAAAGAGTCTTTCCAAAACTACTGTTGAACCAAACATTATGGTGCTTTGAAGCTAGCACCAGCGCTGCTAAGGCAAGTAAGTTAGTTAGCCAATGCTGGAGTAGCCAGCCAACATGGGATCCCCCAAATAACAAGAAGTATTTTGCACACTGGTTCACTCTTTTTCTAGCTATACTTCCACTAGATCACCCTCTATCACATTATTAATTATAATTTATGTATCATCCTCTTGTCAGTCAGAGCCTGCCTCCTCTGCTCAAAACTCATCTGTCCAACGTCTCTACCCCAGTTTCCCAAGCAGATATTTTGCCTCTGGCACTGTTCCGTTCTAAAAATCGCTGTCATAGCTCCAGTTCTTAACAAACCTGCTTTAGATCCAGCTGAGCAAACCAACAGACCAATCTCAAATCTCCATTTTTATAAAGCATTGTTGCCTCCCCCAGTTCTGCTACAGACTTGCCATCTCCCTCATAAACAGCCCATATCTGTGACATAAAGCCCATGTCTGTTTCTGTGGCTTGAACCTGATAAAAACTAAGTGGCGTTAAATGAACCCAAAAGTCTTGTCAGATATGAATATTGCTAACAGTGGAGATCGTGTTAAACCTTCCCAAATGTGTTCTCACTTGCCTTTGAAACCCAAGAATATGTTTTTCGTCTTCAGAACATTTTTTAGATATAACCACGTCTATATTTAAATTGCCATCTGCCACCCTCACAGTTATCAAGAACTGTGCTTATCCTTGTAATCATGTTTTCTTCCAAAAATCTAAACTGCTTTTTGTCTTCACTTGTAAAGCTTTTGATTGTTTTGCCTTGTTTTTTTATCTTTATACATAAAATAATAAGTAGCATTAAAGAAAGTCTTATAATCAATTTTAACACACATCAACATACAATAAGAACAAACTAAGCCATGTTATTAAATAAGAGTGAGAGGGCAGTCATGGGCTGGAGGTTAGGGCTCTCTGGTTAGGGAACCAACCCTGTGACCGGAAGGTCGCCACTGCGGATTTCCCCACGTTGTGGGACTGATAAGCGTCACTTATAACTTTGGTACAATAATACCATTGAAGACAGTTCACGACAGATATACATATTGTTCTTAAATATAATAAAAAAAAACATTTAGTGCCTGCTACTCATGACATTAAGACATGATTTAGAACCATATGTACGTTTTTGTCTTTTTTTCTGATGTATCTGTAGGTTTAAGTAGCTTCTCAAGAATATGGTTTGTTTATTACACATCGAAATCCAATAATCGTGTGTCTGTTTTTTCGTGGCAACAAATGAATAGAATAAATGTGATAAAATATCCTCTTCTGGTATATTTATAAAACATTATACTTTTTGGAAGTGGAATTTTTTCGGTTTTAACTAGACTCTTATTTTGATATCTAACCATTACGTTGTGTAATGTTGTTATCACGTGAGTGTCCTACTTTCGCTGGCTTGCAAGTTCATGTGAAAATGAAGTGAAATGTTGCTGTAATAGGGGCGAATTTCTAAGCGCTTTGTCTGTGAAGAGGTAACTTAAACATTCGTGAATACTTGATTAATAAAAATCGAGGATCTTTAGGAGACTAGCCAGATAATGACTTGCTGGCTGGTAACCACCAAACTAAATTAAAGGTTTAGCTGACTGTCAAGGGTTCAAGCTAGTTTCCAAAGCCTCTGGCTAAGTGTAAGTATAAACACGAAAGTATAATGATACCAGTATTTCGGTTTAGTTAGTTTTTGACAGGAATAAATATAGTTAGATACACATGGTACATGCTTAACTGGTTCTTTGCATGGCGAAATAGTTATTCATATTGATAAAGAATGTGTTGTATATGGTTCTATATGGGACCTTTTTGAAAATGATTCTACATAGCACCGAAAAGCGTTCTTCTATTGTTACAAGCTTGACATCCTTGAACCCTTTTTGGTGCTTTAAAGAACTATTTTCAAAAGGATTTTATATAGAACCATATATGATACATTTTCAATCAATCTGAAGAACCGTTTAAGCATAAAATGGTTCTAAATAGAACCATTGCCTTTACTAAAGAACTCTGGAAGAACCATCTTTACCTCCCATAGCCTTCAGTTGTATCTAAAATGAACTGCATCTAAAGGGATTATGTATGGCTGTAAGCATGAAACAATTCATTGACAACGCGTTTTCTAGTTATTTATGATTGTGATTTTTTCCCCTACTGTTTATACTATTTACATAATGCATATAACATGCATTAAAGAATAATGCATGTTATAATAGTGGTATATTGCTTTCTAAATGCAGTTCTACTGGGGTGGGGGGGGGGCAATTTCTTTAATATTTCAGTGGTTATACAGTGTGTTTCTGCTGCTATTATTGCAGGTAGCGCTGTGAGGATGGCGCAACTGTCACGGAAAGCTTTGCGCTTGCTTAGCGTGAAGCAACTCTTGCATCCACATATCAGAGTGGCTTGGGTCTCCACCCATAGAGCCATAATATTTGATATGTTTGGAGTTCTGATACCATCACCGTTCCCTAAAGCAACAGGTAACATGCGCAGTGCATGCCAATGTATGAGCCTGCATCATATAGGCAATCGACTGACATATAGACAAAAACTCAAAGCTGTAACATACTTTAAATCAATGCATCTTAAATGAGCACAACACATTTTCTGTGCTTTAATAATGTATTTGCTGCTGGTGAGTTCTTTTTATATTTAGCATCTTATTTAACTGTGCATTACATTACTTTCTGTAGTAACAGTGTGCACCTTGTCTGTATGGTAATCTGAATATTATACCATTTCTGTGACAGAGTGGGAGGACAAGAATGGTGTTCCACGTGGCACAATAGGTCAGGCCATTAGGACAGGGGGTGATGGGAACGCCTGGAGGAAGTACATGAGAGGGGAACTAGGGCCAGAGGAGTTTGTGGAAGCCTTCAGCCGGGACTGCAGTCAAATTGTACATTTGCTTCTTGTTTGATTCTTGCCGTAAACTGATATACCTGATAGCATTAAAATGCCCAGTCAGTATTTACAGATTCTGAGTTCAGAATATATATAATATATATAAGATATGACTATTGTTACTGTCATTCTGTTTCCAAACTGGTAACTTTATAAGAGAAAGGAAAACATTTTTAACATTAACGTAAGTTAATGTAACTAGATGTTAGTTCAAGTAATTTTGGATGATTTCGTCCGTTCAGCAGGAAACACTCATACAATGTAAAGGGCAGCTGGCGCTTTCAAATGGCAAGAAAAAAGAAAAAAAGAATGGTTTTGATATGACAGTAAGTGTTTTGTGTATGACTGAATACAGTACAATACAGTTTAGGCACTACTCAAAGAAGAGTTAGTATTTTATAATAAGACATTGAAACTATAAACTTAATCTGGTCTTGTTCTTGACTCAGACTCGACTAATACAAAGTGTTGGTCTTGACTACAACACTAGTTTGTATAACTGGAGTAAGTTGCAATAACGCCGTCTTGGCTTCTTTTGTTCAGTGGATTATCAGATTCGACTGAAAAGAGCACATCAGGCAAAAGCAGAAAATGTATATAGTATACAGAAAAAGGAAAAAACACTTTTAAAGGTCATTGTCGTTCATTGAATCTGAACTTGAACTTGAAAACTGGAGATGTATCAGCTGGTGTCACATAAGTCTTGCCTATGTTGTAAATTGTCCCTGTTTTGTTTTTTTCAGGTGGGCTTCAAGGTCGATATTGGCTCGTTTCATTCAGCTTTAACCAGCGACACCATGACACGTCCTCTCACAGTTATGATGGAAGCTGTGCAGTGTGCGCGTGCCGAGGGTCTCAAGACCGCTGTCCTTAGCAACAACTTTCTTTTGCCTGGGGGAAAGTCCTACATGCCTCTGGATCCCTCTCTCTTTGACGTGGTAATTGAATTTTGCCTGTTTCCCATAGCCATGGTGTTAACATATACAGTAGACCCAGAAGCTGCCAAATCTAGCTGTAGTAGCTTTACAAAGTACAAAGGTTTCTTGTTTATATTTGTTTCTCTGTGTATTTTTTAGATAGTAGAGTCCTGCAGGGTGGGCTTGTGTAAGCCAGATCCAAGGATTTACCAGTTGTGTGCTGACAGGCTGGGGGTCTCACCGCAGGAAGCAGTGTTTCTGGATGATCTGAGTTGCAATGTGGAGGCCGCAGAGCGAGTGGGCATGCATTGCATCACGGTGAGTTCTGTGTAACAGTCCTGACCAACAACGTGTTCTTGCAGTGGGACAGTGATCCACAGTTTTGCCACTTATTCGCACACATGTTCACCTGTGTGAATGTGACTGTTTACAAGTCAGACTCAGATACAACCAACCATTATCAGAGCATTTTTAAAAGGCACCAAACATCAAACACACACGTGGCTGAGAAGGAATAAATGCACAGATGCCATCACGATGTTCATTGTAAAGGAAATGGTTAGGTTTCCCACAGAGAAGGTTTTTTTCAAGGATGATACTCATCAGTTTTGACCATGACTGGGTCACTATGGAAAGCTATTTAACGCCATCATGTGGCCAAATTGGAAAATTTGGTTTTAAAAGGAAATTACAGACATTTCACAGGCTCACAGACTATGGATGTTTTTCTACTTCAAATGAACATCTTTTTCAAGTAGTAATAATACATATTGACATTCACTTTTGATTTTGGTTTTAAGTATTTTGTTTCTGTCTATCTGTACAAATATTCGAATTGTTATCATTGTTATTAGTTCAGCGAAAAAAATTCTGATGTAGAATATAGCACTGGAGCTATGAGATGTTTGTAGCAAGTACTGGACGTATATTTCTTATAAATTAGCTCTGTGTAATGGACGTTCATTCCTTACCAATTAGCTCTACCTCAAACATGCCTAAATCGTCACACATCGCAATAAGCAATCGTCACCACAATAAGCAATCTCAAATAGACTTGCTTATGTAGTGTTTGACACTGACTGACATTGCTGATGTTGCAGAACTAAAACAGTTGCATCTACAGTTGGCATAATGGGTATAAGTACACCGATCAGGCATAACATTATGACCACCTCCTTGTTTCTATGCTCATTGTTCTTTTAATCAGCTCCATTTACTATATAGGTGCACTTTGTAGTTCTACAATTACAGACTGTAGTCCATCTGTTTCTCTGCATACTTTGTTAGCCCCCTTTTACCCTGTTCTTCAGTGGTCAGGACCCCCATGGACCCTCACAGAGCAGGTATTATTTGGGTGGTGGACTACAGTCTGTAATTGTAGAACTACAAAGTGCACCTATATAGTAGGTGGAGCTGATAAAATGGACAATGAGCAAAGAAGCAAGGAGGTGGTCATAATGTTAAGCCCGATCGGTGTATATGTATATAAGTACATTGCAATTATAATTATTTTTGGCCTAATAATCCATAAAAAAGCTATCAAGGTTTACACTTTTTCCTCAATACTCAGTTGCTTTACATATGAAATCTGTCATGATTTAGACTTTGTAGTCAGCCAGTTTCTTTACACTATGTGTAATGTTTCACTTTAGGTCAGAGACCCTGCAGAGGCCGTCAAGGAACTGGAGGAGGTGCTAAAGGTGCCGTTATCTGGTTTTGTTCCTGGTACCCGGTCTGTGAGACAGAGCCAGCAACTCCCCATGGACCGACTTACCCAGTATCTCAACAGTGCTGTTCAGCTTCCTCAAACAGGTACACCAGAGCTGATCATGGACCTCAAACATTCATCCAATATACTGGTTTTGGTACTGAAATTTGTCTTTGTTATGCTATATATGTGAAAGTTTGGGTGGCCCTGGTCAAATTACAGGTTTTCTTGATTTTGTGAATGAAAATAAGTCAACACATCCTCTGCAGAGAACATACTTCTGCACAGTTTAATGCATAATTACTGTTTATTTGCTGAATGTAACATATTGGGGGGAAATTTTAACATAAAATATAGGCTGTGTTATGGTTAAAGGTTATGGCACATATACTCTGACTGGCCAGTTCATTAAGTACACTTCCTTGTTTCTACTCTCATTGTCTATTTAATCAGCTCCACTTACCATATAGGTGCCATTTTGTAGTTGCAATTACAGACTGTAGACCAACTGTTTCTCTGCATACATTGCTAGCCCCCTTTTTTCCCTGTTCTTCAATGGTCAGGACCCCCACAGGACCACCACAGAGCAGGTGTTGGGTGGTTGGTCATTCTCAGCACTGCAGTGACAATGACATAGTGGTGGTGTGTTAGTGTGGATCAGACACAGCAGTGCTGCTGGACATGTAATTTAACCAGGGATATTCAAACTTTTGCATATGACTGTATCTGTTCTTGTTAATAGTTGTGTTATATTGTTATATTGGGAGAATCTTAGTTACCGTTATTTTGTTGTCTTCTAGAACCAGTTACAGTCCGACAATTCAGCCATAGTCACTCTAACTCCACATACCTCCTGAGCTGGGGGGGGTGCCAGCTTGTGCTAAAGAAGAAAGCAAATACTGAAGCTCTGAGGAAAGAGTGCAGGTTTGGCATGTTTCGTATGAGTTGCTTTATTATATTTGCATTCACATACATTCAGCTCTTGTAAGGAGTGAAACAGTATGTGCTTCCTTGCTCTGTCCAATATTTCTTTCTCTGTAGGCTTCTAAAAGCACTTAATGAAGATGGAGTTCCTGTGCCAGATGTTATTGCCAACTGTGAAGTGCCCAGGTAATTGTGTTTTTTCTCTGAAATAGCTGGATTCAAAAGTAGTGCATTCGTTGTTCTGCATGAGATGCTGTTTGAGGTGGTCCATTAGGATCTTGGTGACATTCACAGTGTAACAATGTTACTTATTTTGTCTCAAAGTGAATATAATCATATTTGATACATTACTAACCCCAACTGAGAACGCTAGCATGAAGCATGACCCAGTATCTTGATATATGTGTATAGTCTGGAGTTTACAGTCGCTTGTATTTCTGAAATGGTAACTTTATACCAGAAGGGAACAAATATCTTAATTTTAACATAATGTCAATGTAACAAGATTTTATTCCCAAAAATTGTCGACCGTTTCTATTGGTCCATTCATAATGTAATGTTCATACAACAAAAAGGTGTTTTTAAATGTTATAAAACCATGGTTTTCAACTAGTTTTATGCCTTCATGTTACTTTTCTTTTGGTCAGTGTCCTGGACACTCCATTTTACCTGAGATCTTACTGCCAAGGTCGTGTGTTTAATGACCCTTCTCTACCTGGACTTGATGCTGATGAGAAGAAATATGTGTTTGAGGCCATGATTCAAACACTCTGCCAGATACACAGAGTCGACCTAGGAACAACAGGCCTGGAGGACCTCAGAGAGCAAGGTAGGACATTACTGAAGATGTAAATTAGAAAAAGTAAGGTGATGTAAGACATGTAAAGCCCAGTCTGAATACTTGTTTACTATACTTTTACCATCAAAAAAAGTTTTATGTAGCAAAAGAGGATTGTCAGAAGAGGATCTCAGAAATGTCAAGTCAGAAATGTGATATTTGGTACAACTTGCATGCACAGCATAATGCCTGCATGAATAGCACCACCCTCTCAATGAAGTGTGGCATTGCAGTTCCTTAACTATACAACATTTCGTTTCCAGATGCTGCTGTCAGTCAGATCTCACAAATTAAATTGCACTTTTTCAGTGTCGTGTAATTCAGGGGACTTCATGGAATTTGAAGTGAAGAGGTTGGCGCAGCAATACAAGGCGCATGAGACTCAGCCCATTCCAGCCATGAACAGGCTGATAGAATGGCTCCTGTTGCATCTTCCTGAACAGCAGAAAGCCACACTGCTGCATGGAGCCTTCAGGTTAGACACCCACTCTTCTTATAAGCAGAAATAAAATTCACATTAGCTGTAATTTCTGATCTAACCTTGCAAGCTATTCTCGTCCCACTCAAACTGCTAACCAGCCGCATCATAGTGAAGAATAGCTTCTGCAAAAGATCCAATTAACATGATTGTCCACTTATGACAGTTGTACTTGATTAGCCAATACATGTTTGGTGTCCAAATGTTGCCTTTTAGTTTAGCATTGGAGCAACAAGGCTAATGTAGGTGACTAGAAGTCATTAGTCACCCAAATCTTTTCCCTAAATTCATCCCCAAAACTTCTCTCAGTCCATTTAAACCACATACAGGTCTTTAGTAAGGTTGCACAGACTTGTAGATGTAGTTTAGGTCACAGAATGACTTACTGTGAACTGTAAAAATAATAAAACTTCACCATGTAGCTGAATGCTGGGGTTAGCTATCACCTGTTTCAATGTCTGACTTCCCTTCACATGCACGTAGGCACATGGACGCTAGATTATATTTTTGATTTCTGTTTGTTTCTATTTATAAACATGCATCTTCACTTTGAACATTAAAGATTAACAGCTGTCTATTAAAGGGGAACTCAATATTTCTGCATAATGAAATGGTTAACAGATCAGAAGAGTCATTCAGTGTGGTTTGGTGTGAAATGCTTTGTTCTTAACAAGTCTGAATTGTTCACAATGGTTGTGATAGGAACCAGACATCTGAGGAGTTTAATGCCTGTTACCAGAAAGTTATTTCATGAAACGGTTATGAATACACTGCCTATTGTCTGACACATTGTTTTATAGTTTGGCCTAAAACACATTTTAATCAATTTATTTTAATCAGTTCATGGTGGAGGGATACATGATTTTCCCTTATTTTTACTCTTTTCAACAGTTAAGACATCAAAACTGTGAAATAACAAATATGTAATTATGTATACTCTAAAAAAAATGTTAAACACTCAAAAATATCTTCTAGATTCTTCCAAATAGGCCCGTTTGTCTTGATGCAGCTTTGCCCACTCTTGACATTCTCTCAGTTCACTTGATTAGGAACCACCTGGGATGCTTTTCCCCTTGAAGAAGTTTCACATATTCTGAATCCGAGAATACTAAGGCTTCGTCTTCTCTATTTATTTTTGTCTCACAAACACATTTCAAGCATTTAAGCTTAGGCCTTCAGATCAGAAAATCTTCAAGATTATGAAAAACATATGTCCAATCAGGTGTGTCCAACTTTTGATTGGTTCTGTATATGAGTAAGGGATCCTTCTGAAATCTGGCTATGCACGATGGCAAATACTGGGTATTACATTACTGACAACCCACTGATGTTAGACTGACAGGAACCACTGTTTGTGCTCGTTGAAAGATCTGACTTTGCAATTCAACTGCTTTTTATTTACAGGCTGAACAACCTGGTATTTGACTCAGAGAAGCCAGAGGTGAGGGCAGTGTTGGGATGGAGCCTTTCCACTGTAGGAGACCCACTTGTGGATGTGGCTTCTTGTTGTATGTCCCAGTACCTGTCTCAGAACACTACACAACCAGGTAAAAGCAAGGGCAGTCAGACGTTAAGTCAGAGGTCCTTAAGTGGATGTTTAATTATGGTACACAAAGCACATGCACAAAACAATCAAATAAAACAGTGAATATCATTTATGGCCCTTGATCACTTGACCGAGTTGTATACGTTGTTTTTATGCTTTCATAGGGAACAAACTTGCTTCAGTGGGCATTCCCAATGCAGAAGAATTGTTTGAGCTATACAGTAAAGCAATGGGGCTGGAGAGCATCCCACACTGGCAGTTCTACATGGCTTTCAGCTTTTTCCATCAGGCTGTCATCTTACAGGCTAACCATATAAGCTCACTTAAAGGTAAGTTTTAAATTAACAAACTCAAAGTGGTGAAATAAAGCTGTAAATAATGGCGGCTTATCGGAACCGTCTGATATACAGCATTCCAGAGCTTTTGGCCTTTTAGCTTTTTTCTGCATTCATCAAAAAATGTTTACTTTTTCAGAATTTTAGAATTTTGGAGTTCTTTGTTAGTTTGCATTAACTTAAGCTACAGTGCGCTCCAAAAGTAATGGCACCCATGGTGAGCATGAGCAAAATAGGCTGTAAAAAACATTCTTTATTGCTTCCATTTGATCTTTTATTTACTGTACTACCAAATCTAACTTAATTTGAAGGATCATGAAATGATTGAAAGAAAAACTCTAAATCTTATTATGAAATAAATTTTTCCTCAAATCTATGTGTGTCACAGTATGACCAGTATTTTTTTTTTCTTATTGTTTAGTCACTGCAAGCACAAGGGACATAGAAGACATGGCAGAATTGGCATGGGTCTTTGCCATTAAAGAAGGCTTTCGTATCTTCAATGCTGTGCCCAAAGCCGCAGGCTTCTGAGCAAAAGGACCATAGACAATACATTCGCCGTCCTCTGTTCCAGTGTGTCTTGCTGTGCACTTAAATCATCTGAAAATGGAGAACCTGGATTTCTATTAAAACAGCCTGTTAAAATTTCAGGTTTCGTATTGCACCACAATATTTAAATCAATAGCTGCAAGGTACTTTTTCTTCATCCCATGACATTTTCTACCTTTGCCTATATGGAAAGATGACTTTCATATTAAAAGAGCTGAAAAGCTTGAGCACCTTCTTTTCTATGAAATTCTCCTATCCCACAATTAACCAGGTTTACCTTTGCTTAGCTTCTGAGACCAGACAAGTCCTGGACTTCCCAAAGCTATCCTGTATATCCCGGTATAGCCTGCCCTACAAAAGAGCCTAAAGTTTAAGTTCCTTCGTCAAGCACATCTTGTTAAGGTAGAAAGTTGCTAACATGTTCGTTTCATGTTTGTGAGTCTTGTGCAACACTCTCCTGCAATAGTGTTTAACCATTATTACCTTCTACAGCCCCGTTTTGGAAAAAGTGGGACCGCCGTGCAAAATGTAAATAAAAACAGAATGCAATGATGTGCAAATCAGTTAAACCTTATATATAAAATTGAAAATAGTACAGAGACAATAGATCTAATTCTGAAACTGAGAAATGTTATTGTTTTTTTAACAGTTGAAATATTGAATATTGGCCATTAGGTGTTTGATGCCAGCAACACGTTTCAAAAAAGTTGGGACAGGGGGCTCTACCATGCAAAAAAAGAAACCATATATAAACAGGATCCAGAAACACCGCTGCCTTCTCTAGGCCCAAGCACATTTAAGATGGACTGAGGTGAAGTAGAAAAGTGTCCTGTGTGTGTTAGGTCCCAACCATAGGCTCAGGTCTAGGAGGAGGGAGGGACAGTAACTAAAGGATGGAGGAGCACAATAAAGGGGTACAGAGACAAGTATAAAGCAGCTAAAGTTTTAACAAGTTATTTATACAGACAAATAAACAACACACACAAACATGTTAAGCTACAGATAATTGAGTACTGTAGTAAAGTTACAGTGGTACTGGCAAGCTGGGCAATCTACCCAGGAGGGGACTACAGACAGTACCAAAGCAAAGAAATAAACAAAAAGGATCTAGTCTAAACTAAGAGCTAAACAGCTCTAGCTACCACCCTATGCTAAGCTACTAAGACATACAGGGAGTGGTACCTGCCTCTAATCTAGTGTTTTAAGACAATCATATACCTACTGTTGTGAATGTAGGTGCACGCACAGTCTAACCTGCCCTTCCTCCCATGAGAAAAGCACCAGTTTAAGAGACTTTAAAGCCAGTACACTCAGACAAACCACAAAAGCTAACAAATGCTAACAAAGCTAAAGCTAGCAAGCAGAGGCTAATGCAACTTAGCTTTACTAAAAGGACACAGGAGGACACATGGCCATGATTTCCAAAAAGAATTTCAAATTTTGATTTGTCAGACCAAAGGACACTTTTCCACTTCACCACAGTCCATTTTAAATGAGCTTGGGCCCAGAGAAGGTGGCAGCGTTTCTGGATTATGTATGGTTTCTTCTCTGCGTTTTAGAGTTTTAACTGGCATTTGTGGATGCAGTGATGTATTGCTTTCACAGACAGTGGTTTTTAGAAGTGTTCATGAGCACATGTAGTGATTTCCATTAGAGCAGAGGTCACTAATTGGTGGACCGCGGTCCGAGTCCGGACCCAGACACTGTCCTATGCGGACACACACAAGGAAGGGACGAGGCGAGAAGCAGCAGTCAGAGCCAGAGGAAAGTTATTTTACATGGCGTGCTCTAAAAAGAGAAAACTGGCAATAAATGTTGTTGAAATATGACAATTGTACTTCATTTGATTTGACATTCAGTTGTTCACTACATAATATGTTGATATACCTACTAGGCTAATAGTATATGGCACTGAATCATGATGCAAGATATTATGATGTTCTGGACCTTTGCTTGAGGACATTTTCTCTAACTGGACCTTATTGAACTTTAATTAAAGACCCTTGCACTAGAGAATCATGTTTGTTTTCAATGCAGTGCCGTCTGAGGGCCCAAAAATCATTGCCAGCAAACACTGGTTTTTGACTTTGTCCCTTGCATACAGAGTTTTCCCCAGATTCTCTTTTAATTAATCTTTTAATGATATTATGTACTGTAGATGATGAAATGCAAAAGTTCTTTGCTATTTTACATTGAGAAATGTTATTCTTGAATTGTTGCACTGTTTGATCGTGCAGTCTTTCACAGAGTGGTGAACTCCTCTCATCTTTACTTCTGAAAGACTCAGCCTCTCTGGGATGCTCTTTTTATACTGAATCGCATTACTGACCTGTTGCCAATTAACCACCTGGTGTTTTTTTTTTAGCATTACACAACTTTACCAGCCTTTTGTTCCCCGTATCCCAACTTTTTTGGAACGTGTTGTTGGCATCAAATTCAAAATGGGCATATATTTTTCAAAAAAACAATAAAATTTCTCAGTTTCAACATTTGATATGTTGTCTTTGTACTATTTTCAATGAAATATAGGGTTTAAATTCATTGCATTTTGTTTTTATTTACATTTTGCACAGCGTCCCAACTTTTTTGGAAATGGGGTTGTAAAAGAGTCCGGGTGCTAAACTTGCCTGCCTGTCTCCATTCACCCCTATTCATTTAGGCCTGTCTTGTGGGTGCCCTCTGGCAAATGCAGTAGTATTTTTGATATAATAGGAGAAATAGGAAGTAAGTCCCTTTAAACCAGGTGTGCATACAATATTCAAAGGGGAGCTCTGCCCATTTTTCAAAGATTCAACATAGTTAAAAGGTAAACAGAGTTAATCAGAGTGATTTGGTGTAAATGCTCTTCACGTCGTAGAGAAATTTATTCAGTCAGAGTTGTTTGCAGTGGAGATGATAGAAACCAGACGTCCACTTCTAAAAGCTCCCTCACATAAAGTTATTACATGAAGTGGTTATGAATACGCTGTCTGACATTGTTTTGCAATAATTTTGTGATAAAGTTTGGTTTAAAATATGGCAGAGGACTACACATAAGGCAAAATAGTCCCCAAAGAAATCTTTTTTTTTCAGATTTAAGACTATTCCCTGCCAGAAAACTGTAGAGCATTGAGAGCAATGTCATAATAAAATTCATTTTCAGAATTCCTTTCATTTGCAAAGTGGTGATCAAATCTTGATCAAATCCTGAAACAGACATTGAACTAATCAAATATTTAATAATATAATAACTTTTAGTAAAAGTGAAGTATGTAAGGAACATCTGAAACATTTTATTTTTGGTTGTTTGTAAAAGAAAAATAAGACAACAACATTCCTTAGTTTAAAAACTGAGAAGCCGGACTAACCTCAATTAGAGACTTTTATCAATCAAATTTGATAATAATAATAGATTAAGTTAGCTGCTAGATAAATGGGTTAAAATTGGAGTACATTCTATTTTTAAGAGACTTGTGTGTACTTCTATGTTCACCCACTTTAAATTCTATTATTTTTCATTTTATATCATACTTTATAGTAAACTGTTAGGATTTAGGTTAGAATAGATATATTTATGATCACTAAACCTTCCTGTTAGTACATGACAGACATTTACATCCGTTATATCTGTTTATATCTGTTAGTACAAGTAGTACAACTATTGTAAAGCAAGGAGTTCCCTGATATAAATAGGTATTATTTATATCTGGGAACTCCTCGCTTTACAATAGTTTGCTGTTCATTGTCTGAGAGATCTAAGGCTTTCATGTTGATTGTGAAAATGTATCAGCAGCAGAATAAAACTATATCAACAGCATCTTTCTATTAATTCCTATTTCGCTCTTTTTCATTTTCTGCTATTTCTATTTCTCATATTATGTTGTACCAATACACATTTCTGATATATTTTTAAAGATGAGAGATTTTTTCCTTATCTTCTTGGCAGCATCAGGTCTGTCCTGTGAGAGGAGACCCAGTGTGACTTATAGTTGTACATGTGTGTGATATAACATCACTGTCATATCAAAGTCTTCTAATTTGTCACTGGTTTTATTGTTTTACGTTATTTGAAAAGGGTAGTAGCCCTTAAAATCGTGTGAACTTTTCACGGTTTATGGACATACATACATAAATAGTTCAGTATTACTTATAATGAAGTGAATGAACTCATATAAATATTCTGTGGTTCAACCCCGTCGATTTTCAGCTCAAGGTTGAGCCCTTACTGTTACCCGATCAGAGCGCTGGAGGCGGGGTTTGACTGAATATGGGTGGGATTTCAAATTACGACCGTTTCCGAGACCGCGTGGTTCCGGTGTGAATCCGTTTCAGGCCAGGTGGTGGCGCTAATTCTGTAACTACAATTTTCTCCGACTGCTCTGAAGCGGAGAAGTAGAAGATTGTGTTGCGGTCAGCAGTCCCCATACAGTTTTGTTGGAGGAGCAGATACAAGAGCTGAACTGTTGAAGGTAGGAAGCTGTGCGACACTTTAACACTCACTGTTCTGCATTCACTCTGAGACAAACAGCTGAGTTCAGAAAATAAGATTTGATGGGTTTCTAATGGATTAGCCAACACAAAAGCAGCTTCATTCAAACCAGAGCTGAGTAATGTGAACTGTTGAGCCAGAATATTTGGTTTGTTTATGATTTCATTATATAGAGGCTACTTACACTTTATATTATGTTAATAATGCTCTCATCTAGTGGATTAAAATGCTGTTTTGCTTTCGACTTTAACTAGTTAGTTCTAAAGACACGTCCCTTTGAAGCATAAGCTTCGTGATTCTTGGTTTAATTTTATGTGCTTCTGTTCTTTAGTGTGATAATATTATCAAGTCAGTTCCTTCATTGTCAAGCAAATTATAAAGATGAGTCCCTATGGAGTATTATGGATCAAGCTTCAGCTTCTCTAATTCCCTCGGGGGGGAGGGTCTCTTGTTGTGAGCCTAGCAGCTAGCAAGAGTAGCCGTGACCTGAGGCAGAGCGTCATTTCCCGTCTGTGTTGTGTTTGTGTGCCGTGCCGAGTTCTAAGTAAAGGTGAGTTATGGACGAGAAGTTCGACTCGTCAGAATTTCTCCCTCTCCTCCCCCAACAGTCACAATATATACTTTCTGAGAGGTGTTAATATCTGGATGGGGATGGCTGGTAGATTAAGAGCTGCTAGGAGTGTCTGTGGTGGGTGTTTGAGGTCAGTTTTGAGGGGTTGTAGTATATGAGAGCTGTTCAGGAGCTTGGTCTAGTTCAGG